TCAGAAGATGGCACTTAATACTTCACACACACACACACACAAACAAGTAGTATCATAGAGATGAGCATACTAAGTGAAGTAAGTGAGACAGAGAAAGACAAATATCATATGATATCACTTATATATGGAATCTAAAATACGACACAAATGAACTTATCTATGAAACAGAAACAGACTCACAGACATAGAGAACAGACTGGTGGTTGCCAAGGGGGAGGGGGTTGGGGGGAGGGATGGAGTGGGAGGTTGGGATTAGCAGATGCAAACTATTATATATAGGATGGATAAACAGCAAGGTCCTACTGTATAGCACAGGGAACTATATTCAGTATCCTGTGATGTTTTATCACAGGATATACATGTATATATACATGAACATATACGTGTGTATATATATATATATATATATGTATAACTGAATCATTATACTGTACAGCAGAAATTAACACAACATTGTAAATCAACTATACTTCAATTAAAAAAATTAAAAGAAACAAACAAAAAAAGTATTTACCATGTAGGAAACCCTACATCTGACTTCCTACTCGTATGCTTACAAACTTACATGCAGGTGCACTGTCCTTTCCTCCTGTCCTCCTGCATTCCTAGAGGAGATGTCTGGCTTCCTCAATGACCTTGTTCTATCAGTCATCCCCTGTATAAATTACGTCTTCAACCGTTAGAACTCTTTCCTGGCTTCTTCCTATCATGACCAAACATTTCCCATCTTAAAACAAAAATTAGTCAATCGATCAGTTCCCTTCTCCATTCGTTTTCTGTTATTATCGTCTCTCCTCTTCAAAGCCGATTTTGTTAGGTCCGACACTTTTTACATCCACTTTGTCACAGGACATTCACTGTCTTGCTCTTCCCCCTAAAACTGCCCTATCAGAGTGGCTAGTGACCTCTGTGTCACGAAATCCAATGGCTTCTTTTCAAAACCCATCTTAACAGACTGGCCTCTCTTGAAACCCTTTCTTGCTTTGGTGTCTTTGGAAACCTCACACTCTTGATTTTCCTTTTATATCTATAGTTATCTTTCCCAATCTTTACTTTAGGTTCCTTTTTCTGCCCATTCTTTATTTTCAAGGATCGGCCTACTTCTCTGCACTCGAAGCACATTTTCTGGGTGACATGAGTTAATTCCATGACGATGACTCCAAAATCCATTTCTACCTAAGAGCTGTCTTATGAGCACCAGAAACAGACATCCAAATATTTATTGATTATCTCTATTTGGATGCCTCACAGACATCTCAAACTCAATGTGTACAACACTGCACTCAAACTCTCTCCTGCCAAATTTGATTCTCTTTCCTCTGGTTCAGAGCTCAGCAAATGATACCTCAGGCCATTGAGTGCTAGGAACTTAAGAGCTACCTTTAACTCTTTCCTCTCCTTCTACTCTGACATCCAGTGAGTTACGAAGTCCTGTGTATTCTACCTCTTTCAAATTTGTCAAATTTCTCAACTCTGCATTCTTATTTGCACAACTTGGGCACATGCCAACTTGATTTTGTGCTTGGACTCCTGAGTCCTGGTCCCCGTTTTCCAGTTCTGTCTCTCTCCAGTGCATTCTCCACCTATATCCAGAGTGATCATGTCACTCTCCAACTTAAACTTTTTAGTTTACATCTATTGCCAGCAGGATGGAGTCCCAGCTACCATAGCTGGTGACATTGCTCCACCTTATTTGTCCAGGATCATCTACTCTACTCTCATCTCTCTTTATGCATCCCTGTCCTACTGAACCATCTGTAGTTCCCCGAATTTGCCATATCCTGCTACCCATGAGCTTTGTACATGCTGCCCTGTTAGTCTGAAACTCCCCCCTCCATCTTAATTTTCACTTGGCTAATTCCCATGTGTCCTTATGTCTCCATTCAGAGGTTTCTTCCACTTTCTCTGACTCCTACCGTGGGTCAGTTTTCTCTTTGTGTCCCCATAGCACCTTGTAACAAGGATGATTAGCATAGCTGTTGCTAATTAACATTTGAGCACTTATTTGATGCCAGAACCTGTGCTAAGCAGGCTATGTATCTTAACTCATCTAATGCTCACAACAACCTTACGAGGTAATTAATATTTCCTCAGATAAATAATCCAAGCTACAGAGAAGTTACATAATTTTCCCAAGGTTCCACAACTAGTGAGTGACACAGTAGATTCTGAACTCAGGCATCTTATTGAAGATTTTACAAACTTGTAATCACTTGTTTGTGCCTAACTTCCTAATTGGACCCTAAGTTCTTAGAAGGAAGTTGTATCCCTAGCACCCGACACAGTGATTGTCACAAAGTGTGCTCCCAATAAATACTATTTGAATAACTAAGAGAACAAGGTGGCATGTGGCTCAAAGAGGAAAGAGTTCTTGCCTAAAATCAGATTTACCCTGATTACCCTGAGATCACCTTCAGTGTCTGCCATCGTGATGTTTTGCCCCAAGAATACCAAATAACTTGCTGTCATCTAATCACCCCATAGAATTTCATTTCCTGTGCCATTCACCTCATGTACGTTTCCCACTCTTGTCCAACTGGTAAACTCATATTCATCCTTCCACATCAAGCTCAGAATTCACTTTATTCCTGAGGGTTCCCAATCTTCATTGTAGATTCTAAATTTTAGTTCCTCCATACTTTATACATTTCAACATCATCATCATCAACAACAACGACATTAATTTAGACCATCATATAATTTTTTTTAACCAATGGTCCATTTTCTATTCATCTTTGTATCCCTAGTACTTCAGTGTTGTGCCCAGCACTCAGAGGGTGGTCAAAAAATGTTTGATATATTGATCGAACCGAATTAGGTTGGGTTTTGTTTCTGTAGATTACCACGGAGATATCTCAAACTCCGATACATCATGGCAGTTTAGCTGACTCCTACAATGGCCGAGAATCGATTCCTACTGGAGTGGTCCAACACTGGCGTACTGGGAGACATGAGAAGAGGATATCACAATACCTTATGCCTGTTTCACTTTCCTGATCCGATCAAGGGTTTGGCAAAGGATGTTATCTTTTCAAATGTCATTCAAGTTGTGCCCACCAGATAAGTCACAAACGTTTTAGGAAGGCAAGTCTATTTTCATTTAGAGATGGACTAAAGAGGCCAAAGAAGTCTGTGCAAATGTACAAGATGTCAAACCACCAACCCAATCTTGTAAAGGGAAAACAACTGTAAAATCTCCCAAAGTGTTATTTTTCCTGTCACTTCTATTTCAGTCCCTTTGTATTTCACTGGGGTCTTAGCACTTATTTTAGTTTAGTGATATCATATCTGAGCTTTCTAAATGTTCTACGTAATTACTGTGCCTTATTCCTCAAGCACACACCAAACTGCCAGATTAAGTTTCTCAAAGCACTGCTTTGATCAAGTCATTCCTCTGCTCAAGGACTCTCAGTGGTGCCTGACTATGGAATTAGGTGGGAACTCTGAGTCCAGATTTGCCACCAGATGTTCTGCCACAATTGATTTGTGTAGAGCCTGACCCATGACACACATCTAGTAAGTGCTTTTGATGTTTTCATTGATTTTTCCATTGTGTTCTTGAAAGTGAAATCAGAAAACCTAGTTGAAGGAAAGTTCCATTTTGTGTCTTTCATTATTATCAATACTGGCAAATTATGAAGAGTAGATGCCTCTTGTTAAACAAAGAAGCCACACAGTAAACAAAGTAAAGGCTACATACGTTAGAGAAAGCATCTTCCCAGGGGTCCCATATCCTAAATAAAACAGGCACATGAAGATATGACAGGTAATACACTTTGAGGAAAGATAAGTGGTATTTTCATTAATGACAACTTATAGAGATTTCCAGGAGGACCAAAGTGACTTCACAGCTGAAAGCTAACTCATTGCTTCTCAACTGAACTTCTAAGAGGAGTATTCAGCCATGAGCATAATTAAACAAGTCCACAAGACATGAGAAAAGGATTACCCTGAATATGCTGGGTCAAGCAAACCAGGTGGCCAAGAACATGATGTTCTCTGCTTGAAAACCATCATTCAGTTGCCAGACTCTGCTGCTCTCTGGGCTCTCCCATTCTGTTTCTGGCCTTTGTCTCTCCAGTGCCCTTTCTTGGTTTAGATTTTATGTCCTCCTCATCTGACACATCAAAGGATTAAAGAGTTCAAAGCCCTTCATGCTGCCAGTATTTTATTTAGTTAAAATCAACAAAAATGAAAACTTGTGCCCATTTTCCTCTTTGCAAGAAACCAAAATGCAAAATCAAGACGAAAGCACAAGAAGATCTGTGCTGTTCAAAATTAAAACTCATGTCTTCACATATGTATACTCTGTGACAAACTGCACCACTGGATTTTATGAAAATACTTCAATATTGCTAATTAAAATGCTCGAGACACTAACGAATTCTCAAATCAACCTCTGCCACTTTGTTGTACAAATGGAACATTGGCAGATTTTCTTTCAATATCCGAAACACCACTTTTGGAACAAATTTGAAGTTTTGATTCATTCAACAATTATATCGAGTTCCTACTATGTGTCAGACACTATGGTGGGTGCAGAGTAAGCAAAATGGGATGATTTTCTGATTTCAGAGGAATTCCGGTCTCTAAAGCAGTGCTTCTCAAACTACTTTTATTCATCTGTGCCCTCTTTTGATAAACACAAGTACCCTCTCCAATTTCCCAGAAAGTCTAATGAACGCTTCCAACACTAAGAATTACTGATACACAGAACATAGACTCAATTTTCTGTGTATCCTTCATAGACCAAAAGTCTTTGAGCTTTTACTTTTTGTTTTAAAAGCAACACATTTATTTTCCATACACAAAACTGGATTAGAATATTAAATATCCTTTTTTGAACCACGTATGCTAACCCCCCAGCCCGGAACTGAAATTGAAATGCCTGCTTAGAATCACTGTTTGAGAATCACTGCTTTAAAGAGTTTTGGAGAAAAACCAGGCAAGCTCCCTCTCTCCCATCCAATCAAGTCTTAAAGGAATTAGAATTTTCCTACCTGACACAACAGCTGGTGGAGTATCATAATCCTGTCTTGGGACTGAATCTTTGAATGAAAAGAGCATGAGAAAGAATGCAATGAAGTACAAAAGAAAATAAAATAGAATTTTAGCTCTAAAACTTGGAAATGCCCACTGTATGTCACATGGTACCTAAGGCTCCTGCCTTCAAGCACTCAAGGAGGCACTCTGACCCCTTGACAGTTGATAGTTGACACAACGGTCCCCACAACCACCATTCTGGACGTGTCGTTAGGCCCCGTGCGAACTGTGAGGACAGCGTCATCTGTCCCAGAGTATTGTCATCTTCCTCATCTTTCATAATTTTGGTCCCTCCCTTGGGTCATCAACTTGCAATATGTACCCTCTTTGGCTGACACAAAAGTTCTACAAAGTGGCCCGTCCGGAAGGGGACCAAAGTGCAATATGAAACCCCAGTCCTAGAGAACAAAAGAAATAACTACAATTTCCAAAGAGATAAATGAAAAATTTGCACATTCCCAAATTCTATGGAGGCTGACATGTTTTGAAGCTAGAATTTTGTTACTGACCACTCATCTCGGGCTCTGTCCCCAGTGGTCGAAGCCAAGGAGCTTCGTGTGCTGGTATCGTGAGGACACAGATCAATAGAACAGAATCTATTCAACAGATGGCTGCTGTCGTTTTCCAAAGTGTCATAAAACTGGAGGTGGCAAATTGTAGATCGAGGTTAATTAAACAACATGCCATCCATTTCAAAAGTTGGGGTGATGTGGGACCAAATATAACTGCTTTTTTAAAGATGAAAAAGAGGCTTTGGCTTAATATCATTTCTTTAGCCAGGGATCTTAAAAAGGAAAGTGGGACATGGCCCCACTTCTAATAATGGAAAGTTCTAATTTCTCCAGCTCCCCTTGGAGGGGTAAACTGTGTAAAAGGGACCGGGTATTGCTCATATTCAAATAAACTGCCCAAACATGGTTAAAAGGATGCTTTTGCATGACCCTCCTTCCATTCATATGATCATTATTCCATTTTAAAAACTAAAACCTCAAACTTCACTTGTCCACCTACTTGGTAACTTAATTTGGACTATCACAAATTTATCCGTTTCATCTCCTTGCCACAAAAGGACAATGTTGATCCCTCTCCCATGAGTGAATGGTGTGTGAGAAGACAGATTAGAACTTGAACAATGCAAGGCCAGCCAAGCAAGCATTGATCAAAGATTCAAATGCAAGTAAACCTTAGGCATGAGTTATTCTGTTTCTCACAACAGGTATGTGAACTAGTGACTTGATTATAATCCCCAAATCTAGAATACATAAAATCACTTTCAAGGGGTCTCCAAATATTTTATTAATACTGGTAGTAACTCTGATTATCTTTTTAAAAAACTAAGCATACATTACTACTACAAACAAACAAGACTGTGACACTAGTCATTTTCCAAGAATATATTTATAACATTTTAGAATTTATAAAAAATCATGCTCATTGTTGAATTCTTGGAGAATGTAGAAAAGTATCATGATTAATATAGAAATTATCCCTAATCCCATCATCTAGAAACCATCACACTTGTTTGCACTTGTTATAGCCTTATTTCATAAATATTTTTTCATAGTTGATATGAACTCCACACATGCAAATTTACATCCTGCTCTTTTGATTTAAGATGACAGTTAATCCCTTCCTAATTATTTTATACACTTATAACTTGATGCTGCATTACATTCTAGTTTATGGATGGATTATGATTTATTTAATCTTCCTTATTAGACATTATAAAGAACACTGGGCTGAATATTTTTAAGATATATTTTCTGTTATTCTAGAATACTTCCAGAGAATAGGTCTTCAAAACTATAACTATTAGGTCGGGGAATAGAGCTATTTTTGAAATGTCTTTCAGGCCCACCCTGCTATCCAGTTGACACTTTCACAAATTTGGATTCCTACCATCACACTATCCATGCTTGAGAATGTATATCTCCCCACACCTTCATCAGCAATGTGTATTATTTTAATAACTTTATTTAATGGGTTATATGTGTGTGTATTACATTTACTGTTAAGTTGATCATTTTTCATATGTTTTTTTGCTTTCTGTTTCCTCCTTTATCAACTATCTCTTCATGTCCTTTGGCATTTTATACATTGGTACTTTTGTATTTTTTGCTAATTTATTGGAATTCAGAATCTATTTTTTAAACAGCAAAAGCTTACTATTTGCAAATAAACTTTCATAATACTAGACTTGCACTTAATGCCTACTTGTTCATTGTTTATATTGTACTAACTTCAAAAATTCACTTATCTTACAACAAGACTAAATAAATTTTTAAAAACTATTCCCTTTCACCTATATTTTCTTTCTTGTATTTAACCATTTTTAACTGATTGATACTTTTTCCTGAAAAAACATTTCAGGAGATGTACTCATGACCACTTATGAATTTATGATACTGTTTCCTAATCATGAGTCCATTTAACATCGTGTATTGGTTTTTATCACTCTGTCTTAATACTTATATTCCTGGATAACAGTTGAAAATAGACAATCTCTAAGCAAAATGAATAATTCAGGATTTTCACCTGATACCATCAGAATTTCAAAGCAATACAGGAGGGATGGTGCCACTGAAAACTGTGAGAGAACTATGTTGAACACGTCAAGAACAATTACAAGATTATCTCTGTGAGCGGCTAGGTTACACCACCAGAATCCAATGATGTCACAAATCACCAGTGGTCTGGAGACACAAACAGAACTGCAGATAAGGAGGCTGCAGAACAAAAACTTTTTATTTCTTTCCACAGATTCTGGTGACATTGTAAGCCACTGGTGACCACCAACTGAACAAATGAAAAGGAGATAAGAAACTTGTAAAACCAGATTGTCATGCAATTTGGAGGTTCTCATAACACAGTAAAATCCCCAATGGTTTCTGCTAAAGCTTACAATAGACTGATAAGAAATTACGCATAATAGGGCTTTGGTCCTTGAGGGAATCCTGTGACAAAAAATAAACAAAAGCAGAAAAGCTAGATACTTCTTCAAGGTCAGCAGAGCCCTGGAATAAAACCGTTATACTGCTTGCATAAAATTCATTTCTTTTAAGCGCTGCAGATTCTGTCCAGCTTAAAAATAGGTAAAGAATTGAACGATAAACATTTGAGGTGGCAAAGAATGGTTAATTAACCTACAAGGCATCCCTTTCAAAATGTGGGGTCATGGGGGACCAAATACATCTAATTTTATGAAGATGAAAAAGAGGCTTTGGCTCAGTACACTTCCTTTACTCAGGGATCTTAGAAAAGAAAGCGGGACATAGCGTATGGCCTAAGGCGCCCCTTCTGAAGATGGAAAATTCTAATCTAGCTCCAGGTCCCATTAGCCCTGAACCCTGCTTACTTTGGTTACTCCCTGGATCTCTCTGCTCTGCCCCTGGAAACTATTTCTGGACTTGAGGTTCCTGTCTTAATCTTGACCTGTCACTGTTCACACCTTGTTGTGCAGAATTTCAGTGAGCTCAGATGTCTGAAAGCCTCTGGAAAATTATAGTAGGAGAGAGACGTGGTCGGAGAGTTTTAGATTGACTGGCAATATGGCGGGGAACAGACTGGAGTAAATTGAGGTGGGAAACAGGAAGAACAGTTAGGGGACTATTACAGTTAATCAAACAAGGCCCACGGCAGAGACTCTAGAATATGAAGGGAGGGATGTATTTGGCAGATGTCTATGGGACTTGAATAGTAACTGTATGTGGTGGGACTTGAGAAGGAAAGGGTCTGCACTGTGTCCTAAGTGTAGTGTTGGACTCCCCGGGTGAGTGGTCGTGGGGTCAGCTTGAGAGGGGACAGGAGCAGGACCCTATAAGAGGAAGGGTCAGTGGGGAGAAAGCTTGGGAAGCTCATGAGATTAGTTTGGGTCGTGTTGACTTCGAGATGTCAGAGGGAGAGTCACGTGGAAATATTTAGCAAGTGGTTGGACAAACGACTTAAATTCTAAAATGGTCTAAAATTCTAAGACAAGGTTAGCCCTGAGGACTCAGATATAAGAGTCTTCGTCATAGAAGGCAGAGTTCAAAACCATCGAAGTGGAGGAGCTTGTTAAGGAAATCATGTATGAATGAGAAGTAAGTTTAAAAACTTATTTAGCAGCCTAAGAAAGAAAAGAAGCAATGGCCAGAGAGATCAGAGGAGGACCAGGAAAACCTTGGGGAGGAGTCACAAACTGACAGCTCTTAGGAAAATTGGGTCCAATATTCAAACATGGGGAGATTTCCCATTAAAATCCAAGTAGCTTATCTTGAAAAACTGGAAGTTTTCTGTATCTCATGCCATTAACACTCACAACACCCCTGGGATATAAACATTACTTTTCCCACTTTGCAAAAGAGGAAATAAAAGTTCAGAGAGGTCAAGTAACCTGCCTAAACATGCACAGCTAATAAGGGGGCAGAATCAGGCTTTAAACTCAAATTCAACACCCACTGTTCTTTCCATGATACCAGGCCACCTTCCCAGCAATGGATAAAGTGTGTTGAAAAGATGAAATAAGGTGGTGAAATCTGATTAAAAGAATCAAAAGAATCAATAAGAGCCACTCCAAATGCCAATCAAAAATTCTGATAAAATGAATCTATGATATTATATCAAAGTGTAAGAGTGACAGTTTAAGAAAAAAGTATAACTTCCTGCTGGACACTCAACATTGTCAGTGATATTTTGTTGAATAAGTCTAAGAATTAATACTGTTTTCTCTCTGCCTTTTCAGAACCTTAAGAAACTTTAAACCTTTGCAAAACATCAATTTACATAAAGCTTATAATGTTTTTAAGCATTAGTACAAATGTGAAGGAGGAAAATAATTTTTAAAAAAGCTAAAAGAAATTTGATGTTAAATATAAGCCACATGCTTAAAACTTTTGCTTTCTGAGAAAGAAAAGGGGATATATCATTATTGAATAATTTGGCTATTACCAGCTGGGCAAAAATTGTGGTCTTGTATAAACGTATCCTTTTTGAAAATACTCAAACACTAGTCATAATAGACATTATTGAATCAATAAGTATTGTACTTCTGACACTGTTCTATATAATTGAGCTTATTTTTCAATTTCTTAAAGGATTCAGTCATATTCTCAATTAACTTATTATTTTTCCTAGTTTCCTCCAAATTTGAATTTCAGTGAGTCAGCTGGCTTTGCTTTTGATTCAAGTGAGTAGAATTTATAAAGTGTTTCTTTTTATGCTTTGCCTTACAACTCCCTCCTTTATCGGATTACAGTTTGTCATTCAATACAGTAAAAGTGCATTACTTCATTTGTTCATAATTTGCGATCATTTAAGTAGGGGAAAGAAGATATAAAGGGAAATCAGCAGTGGGACATGAGAAACTTCAAGCCTTCCAATATTGTCCTGGGATCTGCTTTATTAATAAATGAGAAAAGTGACTACAGAAAATCTTCACACGTTACTAAAAGCTATAGAAATAGTATCTTCAAATTCTAATGAATATTAGCTGTACCACACTGTAAAATTAAACACGGTCTTAGACATGACTTTTAAAAGTCTAGTTCAGAGACCTAAAGAATCATTTGATCTAGTCTAAGCTTTCAGACACATAGGTATCAACAAATGCTTTTTATAGGTTCAGCAACTGAGGCCTTCTAGATGGGTACTTTGTTTATGTTCATAAAACTAAATTTCTTTATTGAAACAATGGGACTCTTTCCATTAGGTATACAGACTTTCCTCCTATTTAGAGCAGATTACTGAGACCTCAGTGGACATGTCAGAAACGTCTTAAATCCTCAAAAGCCTGTGAGTCAACACATCTATGTAGCAAGCAAGCCATTGCTTTAAGGTAAAATCTCCAATATACAGCTAATGTACCTAGTGTACTTAGATGTTTGGAGATGTTGCCAGCATAACTGAGAAGAATCACAGTAGTGGTGACTATGAGACGTATAGGCATAAAGTCATAGAGGCATATGGTTGAAGGGGTCCCACAGATCTCCATGTTCATTACTTCAACTGGATGGAGAGGGGCATTGAGATCAGGTGATGTTATCTTCCTAAGGACAGACAGAAGCAATAGGGCTCCATCAGGCTTTCTACAGTATTAAAGCTGTCTCACTCAGAAGAAGATACATGTTTTCCTCTCTCCATCTTTAAAAATGACAAAATTATCTACATTAACATTTATGAAAAATAAAAACTGTTACATAGGATACTGGTTTTGACATTTTTCATTGTTCTCTATAATAAAGTTGCAGTATTCCATGTTGTATTTGACATTTGCCCTCCTGACTATTTGGGGAACTGTCTTTGAAAAGATTTTTTAAAAAACAAAGGTTTGCCAATGATTTCAACTGCCTTGTTGATATAAAAGCAAGGCTGCAATGGGCATTTTTGAATATACTTTTGTGCCCTAAGGAAAAATAATGGCTAATCAAAAACATCCCTACCTATTAAAAAAATCAGGTACATTAGATTCCTTTCCTTTTTTGAACATCATCTATGTTGACATATTCGAAAGAAAGATTAGAATAAGTTGATTATGTGAGGTTCTCAATTACTTTTCATTGCTTTAAACATTGAAAGTAAATAAAAAGCCCTGCATATTAGTCATAATCAAGGTTGGCCCCTCTCTTGTGAATAACCTGGGGATGCTGTGAGCTGAAGTGGTAAATATCTGGGAAAGAAAAACTAGGCTCAAGTGTATTAAGTTCCAAGGTCTAAAATAGACACACCTGGTGCATTGCATCATAGGAACCAGAAGTAACACAAATTTAAATGCAACGCGGCAGAACCTTCAGCCTTGTCAATGCGAGTAAATGTGCCCTGGAACTGTGCATGCAGAGGGCAGTTTATTCACAGTGGGACCTAAAAGGCATGTTAGTCAGTGGTGCAGAACCGGTTCTGCTGATGATGCCAGTAAGAACAGCGAGTATTGCACCTCATATTGATGAAGTCCAAGAAAACAAAAGGAAACAAACTCTTCAACTCACCGTTCCTGTTGTGCCCAACGAAAGGTGATTCATCTGTTGTGTCAAGGGGCCCATCATGTTTGCTGGCTGCATTGACATAGGATGGTCCATTGTTGGCGTAATCACAGCACCCTATAAGCACACACAACGTCCAACTGAAAACATATTCCACAATGAAGGAAACTTTAAAAAAAAATAAACACAGTAGCTGTGTTAACATCATACATGCTTACTTCTCACTAAAAAGGCTAACTTGAGCCATGTGTGATTTTTACATCCATTCATTTCATTTTGTGCCTGTCTAAATATGTAACATTAGCGACTTTATCTCTGATGTGATCTATCTGTCATTGCCATTTATACTTCCAATATTCAATGTAGAATGTATTCTAAGACATCAGATATATCCTCTCTCACTGTTCTACATACAAACTTCTCTGACTGAAAAATATAAATACTATGGAAATTCTCTAATTGTTCTTGATATTGAGTAAAACTTTTGTTTTTGTCATTTACCCAGGATTTATACAGATAATTCTTGATCACCTTAATACAACCTTCCCTCAGGGGGATAATGCTGGTCCAGATGGGTTTCTTGACGGGATACCTTTAAAGGACATATTAAAATCTAACACAAATGTTATAAAAATCAAAGCTACTATTTCCCATATTTTTTCCTCCTAATCTTTTGACCTACTTTCTTTCTATCTGTGCTTTTGACACAAGCCTAGAGGATACTAAACTCTGCTAAATGCTGTCAAATGAAACAGCACTGAAAGTTTTTTAAATGCAAAAAAATCAAGTGTTTCATAATGGAAAGGCCTACTTCTAGACTATGCTTTTTGATTTATCATAACTGTGGGAAATGCAAGAAATAATAGACATAAAAAAAATTCTTTCCATATACAAAGTGTCACATGGCCCATGAAGCCTGGAGCCAGGCCATACTACCCTTCCCTTCCTTGTCCTTTCCACTCTCCTACTATTCCACCTTAATTAACTAACTTAGAGAATGGAAAGATTTTTTTTTTTTTAATTGAAAAGCTAGGGTTGGATGGAATCTTTGAGACTGTATAATTCCAGTGCTTTATTTTAAAGATAGTAATAAAGGCAGAAGTTCATTTAAATACCCAGTGGTAGAAAAATGATTATGAATCTGAATGCTATTTTTTTCTGTAAACATTATTTTTCTATGTGACTTTTTTCATATAAATAAACATTTTGAAGGAAAAAAAATAAGTCAGATTCATGTGGATGGAAGGATCTCAGCACCCAAACTAATTACCCACAAGCAAACATGTCCTAAAATGCCTTAGCTCAGGATAATCAGTTTCTCGTGCTATTATCCAAATCCAGCTCCCTGACTGTACCTGTTAAAAGATCAGGCTGTCACTCAGCCTTCCTTGTGGGCTCTACCTCATCAATATGGAAGGACAATAGAAACTGAACCATATATTTGTAAATGATTGATATACAGAGCTAGCTTTGTTCTCAAAGACGTTTGGACTTCTGAGTTAGAATCAATCAAAACACATATGTTATTTTATAATCTGTAGCTTGTAAGTAGACATAGTTGTGCATTTGCATTGCTTGAATTTCTTGATGCTTCCATAAACTGTCATTCATCAGAATGCTTCTCAAATGAGAGACATGATAAGCTTTTACTTAATTATAATTCAGAGACACAACATTTTTTCTTCCTGCTGCCTGAATTTAACAAAAGCATCTTTACTTTTTCCTTAAAAAAAAGAAAAAAATTACTAGCCTTTGTTTCAGGTATTTGTCATATCAAACTAGCAGTAAATACTTTGAGAAGAACTGAGACGCCTCTTAAATCACTTAGGGATAAACGACAGAATAATCTCAGAGTTAAGACAGAAGTTCTGAAGCATTCTTTTTTTAGCCAAAATGTGGCACTTTCACAACATTCTAATCCTTAGCAGGTGCAAGACTTCAGTATTCTTCATGAACTTGAGATTTAGGCTATCTTCTTAGAATATTTGCCCCTAGAGGTTCTGACACACAGCTAACTTGTGACAGTCCCGGAAACCCCACAATTCTGATCAGATTGCCCTAGTCACATAAAGAATTGTTCATCATATATCAGAGATAAAGACCAAATTGTGTTTGGCCAGGAAACTTTCTTCGCAATGCCCTAGGGGTGACCTCACTCCCCAGCAGTGTGAGAGGTAGTCTTAAGTCTTTTTTTTGGGTGGCAACATGTAAATGAGATAAGGTGAGCCTGTGACAGGCAGATAAATCAAAATCCATGCATGATAAGTATAGAAGGATTGAATGTCTGCATTTGGAATTAATTTCGGAAGGATCGTCTGGTCTCTTTAGAGAATCTTTTCATGGAAAGTTCTTGGGGACTCATTTGATTACAGATGCCACAGAGTGAACACTGCTTATGTGTATAAACCAGAAACCTGACAATCAAAGGGAAGAGTGTGTGTGTGTGTGTGTGTGTGTGTGTGTGTGTGTGTGTGTGTGTGGGGGGGGGGGGGGTGTGTGTGTGTGTAGAATTGGAAATAGCAAAGCTAGGCACGGAAGACAATGTAAGAGAAACATTCCTAACCAGGCCAGCTATTGCAAATAAAATGAACAACGAAACAAGCCTTCTTGGGGGAGGACACATCAGGTCATACATTCTTATTCAAATTTAGTAAAAATGTTCAAGAAACACAGGATTCCAACAAATGATTAAGATCATACATTTCTTAAGAATCTCAAGGGATGGAAGAAACTTACAAGCAGTAAGTTGGAAATAGCAGACAGGAACCCCTTGGGGAAACACATTGTCTTGATGGCACTTTACCAGGGACAGACAACTTAGGGAGTTTGAAGTGCTGGTTATCTACAACAAAGACTGGCCTTTGCCAGTCACTGTGTTCATCAATTGCAATTCAGCTACAGAATCTCTTTTGTATTGTGTAAGACATGAAAAAGTGTGGGGGAGAGAAAAAAGAAAGAAAAAACAACAAAAAAGGAAGAGAAAAATCTATGGTTGTTAAGGCAAAATTATAATCGTGCCTCATTAAATCCCTTCCTATCCGATGCATTTAAGCCATAGACTGAAGAGCGTTTCGTGACAGATGTTGCCAACACATTAAGGGTAATTTCATTTACTCAAAAGGTATAGAATGTGAGGTCTGACGGAGTTTGCTTGGCAAATGGCAAAGCAAGAGGAAACAGATTTTTCATTTTAGCATCTCCGGATGTCTGGGTTTGCTCAACGTTTAAGCTGCAAAGAAAAATACTGTAACATGCTGTAATTCCACTAAAAAGCACAATGACCAGACAGCTGATGGGACTGTCTGGTCTGTTTTAGCCACAGCCTCTGCAAAACAAAGCTGTTCACACTCAAGTGTCATAGGGTGGAGCCGTTTGCCCTAATTCTGAAATAAACAATTTCAACAGGATTTTGGATAAAGTTTCCAAAGATCATTGATGTGGAATAAATATACCTGACCTAAGGCCACAAAAGCATCTGTGTTGTTAACCTCCTGCCAATATTTGAAAGAAATTTTAAGTCTAGGAGAGTTCATTGATATTTTAATTTTCTAACAGAAATATAGGATCATTGGCAAATTGGGGAAAACACCAGCAAGGCTCTCTCCCATCAAGAACAACACACAGCTGGTTTAAAACCTACATTAATGCCATGATATGGACCACAATGAGAATTACCTGTGTGAATGTTCCTGTGAATGTCAATATTCTAGGCCAGTGCCACTCCAAATAAGATCAAGAATTTAAATTCGACTCTCTGGGCTTCGGGCATTGGAATCTGTGTTTTAATAAACTCTCCACCAGCTTGAGTGTGTTTTATAATGCACTGAACTGGAGACTATGGGCATTGAATTATTCAAAACATGGTAGGTGAAGGAGTGATATGTGGGGAGGAGGTGATCAAAGAAATCAGTGAGACTTGATATGTCTTGTTATCTCATTTTATTTACCTTTTAGAACTCTTCCAAATATTAGAGGACAGAAATCAATATCAATTTTCACCTGTCACGTTCCACACTTCAATTATTAACGAATGTCAAATTTGACCACAGTTTTCTGTACCACCTGCTCTGCAATAATATTTCTGAGCCTTTATTAAAAATGTAAAATTGTCATTGAATTTCCAAAAATAAAATAAAATAAACTCTCCAAATGATTCTGATGCCCCCTAAGTTTGAGACGTGTGCTCTGTCTATAAACGGCTATTGTACAAGTCAGTGTTACAAATACTTGGTCTTACTTTATTTATACTGTTTCTCAATTATTTGTTTTAAACCAATCTTGTGATAGGGTATGAGCCTTTGTGTAATAATTATATTACATTTTGTTTAAAAATGCAAAGAGGTCAAGCCTGCATTTTTGATGAGCTGAAATGGGGTGATTATCTGAGTAATTCAGGCCTCAGTCTGATGATCTGACATGTTTCTTTTTGATCAGTGTGCTTGTGTTGGAGCACGTTTAAAATTCCTTCCTGTTTGGAATCTTAGGGAGCCTTGAATCTGAAATCACAGAAATGTAAAAGTATTAATAAAAGGTAGGAAAATTATAACATAAGTGAAAAAAAGGAAAAGAAATATCACCCTCTTTTTCCTTCTTGTCCAATCTAGATGCCTCAGGTCAAAATGTTCGCAGCCCAAACTGGTATATATAGCATGGATAAACAACAAGGTCCTACTGTGTAGCACAGGGAACTGTATTCAATATCTTGTGACAAACCATAATGGAAGAGAATATGAAAAAGAATGTACATATGTGTATAACTGAGTCACTTTGCTGTACAGCAGTAATTAACACAACATTGTAAATCAACTATACTTCAATAAAAAATAAATTAAAAAGAAGAAAAAAACAAAAAGAAATCTTTATGTTTCTTCCAAAAAGAAAAAAACATTTGCAGCCCATATTGTGCTCTTTTCCTATGGTCACTTATGCAAAACCATAAGACTTGTTAGTAGTAATCATTCAACACGACTTAAAAAAATGTGGTTTAAGGTCATTTGTCTTCTTTCTCACCTGTGTGTTTTCTGCTTCTCCGTTTTTAATATTTCTAGAATAAATACCTAGTGGAGTTTGTGTACACCAGGCTATTTTTAGCACATGTGACATACAGAGAATGATAT